CTGACCATCATATCTTGGGCTGCATGCNATGGTGGGAAAGAGCCCCCGCTCCCTCCACCTGCAGCCCTTTGTCCCTTATCCCCCACCGCCCAACCAAACGCGCGAACTACTGCTCCCGCTCCGGTCAAGGCGAGGGGGGCAGGGACAAGTTCTATCACCCTTTTAAAGGAGTGATAAGGAGAGGCTAATCGCCCCCCCTCGGCCTTCCACGGGGCTACCCCTGCCGGGCACGCTCTTCCTCCTCTTTGGCGGTCATGACCGTGGTACAAAAATGCACCACGGCCTGCCATGCGTCGGGATCCCCCAACATCCGGCGCACAAGCCGGAAAGAAGAGATCCCCGCCCGCCGCCAATGATGTTAGGGCGGCCCGTGCCCGGTCCCAAGCGGGACAGTCCGCCAGCGTGTGCTGAGCGGAATCCACTGCGGCGCCGCAATGGGCACACGCTGGCGAAACTACCTTATTTATACGGTAAAGGTAGTCCCCAAAACATCCGTGCCCGGTAAGGACCTAGGAGAGATGGTAGGAGACCTCACCATGTCTCCGACCCACCCATGACTCCAACACCGGGCCAACAGCTTCCCGCACGCTAATGCCATATCAGGAGAGGGCGACCACCCTCTCCTTCCACCTACGCACCATACGCCGGTGCGCCCGACGACGAACAGCATCGTCACTATCCAGGGGGGGCTCAACACCCCGGGCTCTACCTTCGCGGATGATTGCGAAAACCTCGGCATACTGCCGAGCCAACAAGTCGGCCGGAGGAACACGGGCCACCACCCGCACCGCCTCCAGCGCAACAGTACGGTAGGCCCGGGCCACCCGTTGGGCCACCACCTTCTGCACCCGACTGAACGGAGCCCCAAGACGGCCCCGACCAAGCGCCTCCCACCAGACCGGGGCGCCGTACATCAAAACGGAATGCACGACGCCCAGATATATAACCGCCTCGCGGCCTCCCTGGGGCCCCGAACATTCGGCAGCAGGCGAGACAGTGCCGACGCCATCCGTCCGGCCTTCTCCGCCGCATACTCAAAGTGGTCCTTCCAGGATCACTCCTGATCTACGAGGAGGCCCAGGTAGCGCATAGATGTGCGCGAAACAACCTGGGCCTCCCCAACCCACACTCTGACCAGATCTCCGGGCCGTCCTCCCGGAGGACGAAAAACCACCACCTCCGTCTTATTGGCGGCCAGGGCGAGGCCGAGTGTGGAGATATACTCCGACACATCGGCCACCGCAAGGGTCGCGCGAAGCCTAGCCTCCCGGACGTCGCAGCCCGCCGCTAACACAAGTGTGTCGTCGGCGTAGCATACGACGTCCACGTGCGACGGCAGCCGGATCCGCAACACCGCGTCATAAGTGAGGTCCCACAGCAGGGGCCCCAGAACAGAGCCCTGTGGCACCCCGCAGGTGACAGCGTGGGACCTCAACTCCCCGTCCCGATAGGGATAATAGACATACCTGTCCGAAAGGTAGTCGCTCAGGACGGCCCGCAGGTAAGTAGGGAGACCCCAATCCCGCAAAGCCGCCCGGACGCCACCCCAGGACAGGGAGTTAAACGCGTTGCGGATATCCAAACTAACCCCAACGCACGTCCTCCCCCGAGCCAGATGAGCCCCGGCGATCTCCCGGACACGGAGTACCGCATCACACGTGGAGAGCGCCGGTCGGAACCCAAACTGCCGGTCCGACAGGCCCCCATTCCTCCGCACGACCCCCTCGATGCGGGTCGCCAAAACCCGCTCAAAGAGTTTGTCCACCTCGTCCAAGAGGCATATCGGCCTATAGAACGAGGGGGCCACTCCCGGGCGGGATGCCTTGGGGACCAGCACCAACCTGGCTGCCTTCCACGCCCGCGGAAAGCACCCCTCCCGGAGGCACCGCGTATAACAACGCAGCAACACCTCCGGGGCCAAGGATGCCATCCGTCCCAGGGCCTCGCACGTGACCCCGTCCAACCCCGGGGCAGTGCGCCGCCCCCGCAGACGACGGCACGCCTCGCGGAGCTCCTCCGCCCCCACGGCGAACTCATCTCGCCACGGTATGCGGCCCGATGGGCCCGGACGGGCCTCCTCTCGGAGGGGAAACAAAGTCCGGACCAACTCCCGGACCGCACCCACCGGCAGCAGCTCTGTTATCCCCGGGCCAGATGGTCTCAGGCGCGCCAGCACCACCCGGTATGCCAAACCCCACGGATCCCTATTTAGGGCATCCGTGAGGCTCCTCCACGCCGCCCCTTTAGCCGTTATGATGGCCTGACGGAGGGCGCGCTGTGCCTCGCGCAAGTGGACGCGTAAGGCCTCTACTGCATCCGGGTCATACTGACGACGCCTTCGTGCCCGGGTATATCGCCGGCGCAGGACCATGCACCGTGACCTGAGATCTGCGATCTCCGCCGACCACCAGTACATGGCCCTGCGAGGTCCCGGCCGACCCGCGCGGGCCATCGACGCGTTACATGCGTCCGCACACACGCGGGCCAGCCACTCGACCTCCTCCGCCAAGGACCCATCCCGGTCCCCAGCGACAACCCACGCCGATCCCCGGACCACCGCCTCGAACATGTCCATTTCCCAAGGGTCCCGCTTCCACCGAGGAAAAACCTCGAGCAGGCACCCCTCTCCTCGTCGATCATAGACATGCCGATGTATCGGTGATCCGACAGGGTCTCCACCCCTCGGAGGACCCTCCACCGCCGGATCAGCGGGGCCGCAGCCGCCGACGCCCAGGACAGATCCACAACGGAAGACCCCTGGGGCCGGACGCACGTTGCCATCGTCCCCCGGTTGAGCAGGAACAATCCGGCTCTATCTGCCCATCCCTCGACTTCCCTCCCCCTCACATTCGTGAAGACAGAGCCCCACCGTGTGGACCAGGCGTTGAAGTCGCCCAGCACCAGGTGGGACTCCCTACCCACCCTCTCTATGCTCTCAGAGAGAGCATCGAGGAATTCGCAGAGCTCCGCCCTGCTTGCGCTGGGGGGAAAGTAGCAACTAAACACCACTACCTCCCCCCAGCGCACCGCCACAAAACCATGGCCTCGCGCAGCCACCTCGCATAACGAGCGACTCTCGTGGGGCGACCACAATATCGCCGCCACTCCATCGAGGTCCACCGCTCGGCCTGAAGCCTCCCCGATGTAATATGGCTCCGCGACCGTTGCGAGATCCGCCCGTCGTTCGCACATGACATGCCTTAGCATGTCCTGTGCCGGACCGCAATGATTTGCGTTGGCCTGAATAAGATTACGCATTTTCATTGCGGTCCACTTCCATCTCGGCTGCCACGGCAGCTACCCCGATCCTCCGCTCCGGGGGGTTTCTCCTTCCATTCCTGCCCTTCAGACGTGAAGGGCAAGATGGGCCTCCCATCCGGTGACCGGTGGACAGGCCCCTGCTGTCACACAGCACACATCGCACGGGAGCCGTGCAGGTGCGCGCCGTGTGGTCCGCATCCTTACCGCACCGAAAACAGGTGCGGGTGCGGTCCACCTCATTCCGGCATGACTGCCGTACGTGGCCGAACTCCAGGCATTTGTAGCACTGGAGCCGGCGCACTTCAAGTGGGACGACTCGGGCGCTAGACCAGCCAACCCGAAGTCGTCCCACAGCAGCTAACTTAGTAGCCACTGCCTCCGGGCATCTCAGCCAGGCCGAGCCCATGCGATCGCGGCCTTCAGCAATGGGCCCCATTGCGATGTCGCTCTCCCGGCAGGGGCCAAACTCTCCCGCCGTCACCGCCGCAACAATGTCCTCAGGGCCAACGGAGGCATCCAGTCCCGTTAGCCGGACCTCGCCCTTGCGCATGGGGCGGGACACCACCACCCTACCCGTGAGGACCGGTGACAGAGCTTCCGCCAGGCGGTCCGCCTTCTCATTGCCTCCTTCCCCAGGTATTTCCAGAAGAAAGCCTCTCCCCATGTCCTTGCGGACACGGATGTCACCTATCCCTAACTCTGTAAGGGACACCCGCTCCCTCGCTAGCCGTATGACAGCAGCATACTCCCGGCTGCTGTCATTACCGGGAAGACACCTTACGGCGACTGCCGCCGTCCTGGGTGGTCTCCTTCTTGGAAGTTTCACTCTTTGCGGCTGCCCTTTTTGCCGCTGCGGCGGTGTTGGCCACTGCGGCGGGTGGTACTCTATTGACCACAGTACGATTCGACACCGCTCGATTCGACACAGATTTATTCGACACCAAATTATTCGACACCGTACGATTC